TCTTTGCCTGGCTGTCTTTCCACACCACACAGAACTGGCTTATGACCCAACAAGAGATCCACAGATTTACATAGTTCTTTCTGTGCACAGCTTTCTTCTCCTTGGTACTCCATTCTACAAACTCTAGTTGCCTCAGCTCTCTAAATGTTGATCTTATTTCAACTCAGCAGCTGATCCTGGGCTGCTTGGGGTATCCCAAGTATTACCTTTGAAAAGCATCTCTAGGCAGAAATCTGGGTCACTGGTGGGTCTTATCAGCTTTGCTCCCATTCTCCAAAGTATCACATCCCTGTTATCTGTTGTCTAGTGTCTGAAATTAGTTGTTTCATTTGCTTTTCAGTTCTCTAGCTGTCAACAGCGGGAAGGCAAGTGGATCTGCAGTTATTCCTTCATAGCTGGAAACATAATTTACGGAAAATGTCTTTGACACGTTAATAAGCATACTTAGGCAGAAATAATGTTCTTGGACATTAAAATTTTAATTGGGCCAAATGAGTTTTCCATATCGATTTCATAAACAAAGTAGGAAACTGTTTAAATCAAATTCCACCTACCTAAAAATAGACCTGTACTTCATGTACTTATTCTTGATTTCTTTGGTAAAAATCAGCTTTGACCACAGTGGACAGTGTGATGGGAATGGTTTTTCTGTCTAGCAGTGATACTGAACAGCGACTGCACCAAAAGTTGGGAAGTTTCGTGATGATCACCAGACCCCAGAATGACTCATGAGCAACTGGACAAGTTCTCTCAGGCTTTAGGGAACAAGACAGAGGATGCCTGGTCACAGCTGCATGTTATCTGGGTGCTGTCTCCCCATCTCAGACAGCTTCTTATTGTCTGAAGATCTGATTGAGGCTGGGAATATTGCACCAAGCAGCCTAATTTTCAAGCCCTGTACTAGTTTTATTTATTATTTCTGCCTAGCAGGAGAAAACAGGTTTTTTCCACACAGGCCACTTCTGGTATGCTTTTCTCTGGAATACACATTCCCCTGACCATTATTTTGGACATCAGAAAATAAACAAGACCCTGAAACAAGAAGTAGTGTCTTATAAAAAGATACATTCAGATAACTATTGAATTTTATCATTTCAAACACAAGGGCTCTGTGTACTGCTGTTTCTTTTATTATGTTGATCCTCCCTCTCTGGGAAGAGATAGCAAATTCACAGTAGTCTTAAAAATGTAACACTAAATTCAGAACAACTCAATTTTTTTTTTTTTTTTGGTCAGGAGTATCACAATTAGGAGATAGGGTCTAAGAAAAAAAGTTGTGGGAATTAAATAAGTTGAATGTTTCTAGTCTCTTGATTTAGGTGAAGTCTCATTTGGTTTCCACAGAACTTGCACCAACAATTCTAGAAGACTTATTTCTCCTTAGCCCACAGAGAGGGTTAGAAGTGCAGTCGCTTCTGTGGGTCTGGAATTACCTTGGCAAAATCCAAGTACTGAGCCGTTTGGGAAAAAGATGTTGTTTATCCCTCAGAAAAAAGCTTCCTCCCCCCAATCATATCAGGAAAGGTAATATACATAGACAATTATCTTTGAAAGAGAACAGTTGTTAGGAAGAAAAATATTTTCCATTGTTGCTAGCCGATTATAGACTGTTATTTGGGAACAGGAAAATAGCAACATAAAAGATGCATGTAGCAATCCTACCAAACATACCTAAGCAGAGGGCACAAAAATAGCCCCTGGGGAATGAGGCTTTAGGTTACTGTGTATTCTGTTCTCACAGAGTGATAGGTGACTTCGTTAGTTCCTATTTTACCTTCTGTGATGGCTGACTGATCTAAACAGTTCCATGAGGTACCTTATAAGAACGAGCATCCATAATAACCTGAGAGCAGTAGCTCTTGCCCTGGAACATTCTAGAATCACCAGCTAGTCCACACCTCTAGTCCACACCATTAAAGTCAGACTCTGGCAGGGGTGCCTCAGTATTGGTCATTTTGTTAAGAGCGTGAAGTGGCTCTAACGGACAGCCAGGATTGAGAACCATCTGTAGAGAATTCAAGTGAAACTGCAGAGCAGAGTATTATATGAACTGAGTTTCTGAAGTCCTCTTGATCTGCTTAGGGCTCCTTTTGCCTTCCTTAACTTTCCTTCTGCCCTGCTAAAATCTACACACCCTCCTGGGTCTGCATCCCATTTCTATTCCTGAGAAGAATCTATCAGTGCTGAAAGTGAGATGCTCAAATACGATATGCTTGCAGTCTAGGATTTTCCAATGATTTAATTATCTAATTACTGTAGCTGGCTGCCAAGCACAAAAGATTTCATTCAGTTTCAGTATTTTATAACACAGTTCAAAGAACATTTGAATTTCTAATTCAATTTTTGTTCTTTTGAGACTCTTCTAGAGAGTTTCGCATATCTCTAATGATAGCTCCATTATTGGCCTTATAATCACTTTGGGGTTGCACTTCATTTTTGCTGTATAATAATACATATGCTGAAGGAGAATGGGTGCTGCCATAGCTTAATTATTCTGAGTTGTTTTTGTCTTAAATAGACTCCCCTGACTGAAAAGATAGAAATCTGAGGGGGAGGGAAGTCAAACTGGAAGCAGAGAATACCAAGTCACAGGTAGAAACAATAGCAGCTGGGTTAGAAATAAGGTATTTATCTTCCCCAACATGTCTGCACTTGAGAACTGTAGACATTTCTAAGCTCAAAAGCACATTTGTACATTGTTCTTTATTTTTGGAGAGCCAGAGGACTTGAGCAGTTCTGAAGCAATAGCGGAACTTGGGTGTTAAAATGGCCTAGACCTTGATGAAAAACTTTCAAGTTCAAGGCTGCAAAGACTGGCAATTTGTGGGAGACCTCTGCTAGCCAGCTGGAGTACCAAATGACACCATTCACCAAAGTGCAATGCTACAGATAGGAACACCATAGATGTGCTATCAGATTCACCTTAACACCCATGAAATATATAGGGCAAATAAGATATTGATGCTAAATTAATTCTACTCTTGTTCCAAAACCAACAACTTCTCTTTTGAGAGCCGTGAGGGACTAGTATATAAATGATAGATTCACTCATTTCTCTTACAGGGGGCACAACAAGGAGAGCAGAATTTCCAAATGGCCAGCAGGTGGCGCCAAAAGGCAGGGGCGGCATGAGGAGGAACTTCACCTGCAGAAACCCTGACCATCTCTGGCCTGCAGACGTGTCCTTTGGCCCTCAGAGCACTAAAAAATTGAGTTTAATTACTTTCCAACATTTAAAGATAGATGTATTTCATGTAAAACCTGTATTTCCAGATTCTCTTGAAATAACCGACCATCAGGCTACGAGTTGGCTGGGACAGAGTGTAGACAGAGTGTCTCTAAGGGGACAACTTTGCCCTTGTCCCTCCTCACTTCCCCTTTTACATTACTGTCTGGACACTAAGGACATCTGTGTCATCACCCCAACATACAACCCGAGCCCAACTTGGATACTTCATTTCATTGCAAAGTCTTTAAAAATTGTGAAGCAAGGAGAAGCCCATGCAAGGGATGGGCCACTTCACAGATGACATGATTCAGAAGAGATGTAAGTAAATTTGCACCAAACAGCCCAGGTGTGGGGATCTGAGCACTGACCAGTGTGTCTGTTCTATTAACTTCTGTGACCTAAGCTAGGGCCTTGGGCAGATCCCTCAAATCAGCTGCTCTTTTTGTCCTCTGGTATGCAGAGGGCAAGGGGAAATAATTTTCTTAGCCATAATAAGGTGGTGAGAAAAATGTAGGGTTTATGTCATTAGTGTGTGGAAGGGACAGAAGAGCTGTGACTCAAAGACCTTTCCTTACTGCACCTCGGCTACTGAGGACCCTACAGTGGTGGCTCAAGCTCCTGTGTGTTCTCCTGTTAGCAACATTCGGCTCAAGAACTTTGGGTTTTTTCTTGGGGAGGGTGAACTAGGGATTGAATTTATGGACAATTGACCATTGAGCCACATCCACAGCCCTGTTTTGTATTTTATTTAGAGACAGGGTCTCACTGAGATGCTTAGTGCCTTGCCGTTGCTGAGGCTGGCTTTGAACTCACAATCCTCCTGTCTCAGCTTCCTGAGCCGCTGGGATTATAGGCGTGCGCCACTATAACCAGCCCAAGAGCTTCTTGAAGGAAGTCAGGGAATATCTTGAATAAAGTCTGAGCCAGAACTATATCCTCGGTGCTCCATCCACCACAAAAGGCAGGGAGGTATGAGGCTGATCCATGAAGCAATCCTGTGACCTCATAAAGAGATATGCAAGCCAGCTCTTTAGTCCTTATACCAAGTGGTAGAAGTTTTATGCAGTGTAAGATTTATGGGATTTGTTGACCAAGATTTGTGACATGAGAGTTATTTTCTCTCCCCTTTGATTCCCCTATAGTACATATATTCCTCAACAATGGAAAAGGATAAAAAAAAAAAAAAAAAACTTGGAACATACTATGCAAATAAAATGCAGATGTTTTTCTCAACAAATCATCCAGGATGGCTTTTTTCCTTATGAATTCATCTTCTATTCTAAATTCAGAGTTCTAAATACATCTCAGTTCCTTGCATATAAATAAATAAAAAAAAAACAAAAACAAAACAAAAAAAGCTTGGCTGACTGTAGCACCTTGCGCCTGCTCCCTGGGGAGAAGGAAGGAGCCTACACTGAGCTGGCAGCCTTAACTGGCTGTTAGAATGCTCCACAGGGCTCCTGTCTATTCAAGTCTTCTCCAACAGCAGATGTGAATAGTATTTTTTTTTTTTTTTTGTCATGTGTAAGAGCATGCGCCACTTAAAGAAATCATTACAGATTGCCTGTAGTTGCAGCAGAAGGCTCTAGACCAGGATTAAGTTGTGCAGGGAAAACCAGGCCATTAGGGTTCTAATGCTTCAGGTCTCCAATTAGCCCCTAGGAAAAAGATGGCAGAAAGAGCCCAGAGAGGATGCAGTGGGGTGGGCTAGGGGAGGAGGTGAAGGGAGACCTAGGGCCAGCGAGACAGAGGGTGCATCCATGAGGGATACCTGGAGCTGTCTCATCTGCTGGAGCTGGAGCTTGAGTTCAGCCACACTTCGCTTCATGTCCAGCAGGCTCATGTGGATGGCCGAGGCGCCTGTAGGCAGGGGCTGGCTGGGCGGCACGGTGGCCTCTTGGGCGCCCAGAGTCTTCCCTCCGGAAATGTGGGGAGTTCCTATGAGAAAAGAGCAGCAAAGGACCTTAGAATGCATGCCACAGAGGGAAGTCCAGGCTCTAAGCCTCATCCCAATACAGAGTTCTAGTAACTTTAAGAATGGCATTTGCTTTCTTATGAAGCACGGTTATAAGCCTCACAATGTTATGGGATGTAGTCTGTAAATACCATTTTCTGGAAGTTTAGTGCTATAGGATGGCAGACCACAGAGCAGAGGGCACAGCTCGATGCCACGTTAAGGAAGTTAAATGTCCCCCCTGCTCTCTCCCTCCCTCTCTCCCTTCTTTCCTCCCTCCCTCTTTCCATCTTTTTCTCCCTTTCTCCCTCCCTCCCTTCCATTTGTTCTCCCTTCTTTTCTCTTTCTTTCTCCCTCCCACCCCTTCCTATCTTCTATAAGCACACAGGTTTGCATGGAGGAAAGTTAAAAAATACATGCATGCATACATACATACATACATACATATATGCATTTGTGTATATTTATGTATGTATATGTATATTTATATAAAACAAAGTATTAACAGTATCTCCCATTGGTGGTATTCCATATGAATTTTATATTCTTATTGTTAGTTCTTAGATTCTTAAATCTACTGAGTGCACATACAGAAAAAATAACTTTAAGATTCATGCGACCGTGTCCTGCATGGCAGTGTACCCTAAGGATGCACACCTCATTTCTGGACAAGAGTTGGGTGATCACCAAGATAAACTAATAAGGGCTTGGTTCTCTCCTGAATCTCTGCAGGTTTCCCAAACTCCAAAATAAGTAGGACCCTCTGCACACATCTCCTTTAGTAAGAAAATGAGGCGAGACTCCAAAATTCTTTAGGAATAGAATAAAAAAAGTCAGCAGAAGGCAACTCTTCTGAGGTGTGGCTCTGTGGTAGCACACTTGCCTAGCATGGGTGAGGCCCTGGGTTCCATCCCCAGAACCGAGAGGGCACAGGACAGAGCTGAGGAACTCTTCCTAAGTTATTTTATAGTTGCCATAAACTTTTGTTTTTCAAATTCAGCTTAAATAATCCTCATGTATTTTGTAAGTCCATCAGGGAAGGGCCCGATTTGGCCAAGTTTGTTTGTAAAAGGACTTAAAAAGAATACAAATAGTGAAGTTTAAGGAATGGGAACAAAAAGAAAGGACTGCCTCCTTTTTCTGGCAACTGTATGGAACAGGCTTCTAGAGTGGATGAGTCACTAACTTATACACATGCAAACACATATGCACACACATGAACACATGTGCACACAAACATCTGTTCAGTTCTTACTGGAAGCTTTGTAATGGGCCTTGTAATGGCTGGCCTTGCTGGACAGAACCCTCTTATGCACCCCAGAGTGGTTGGTTACCTAGCAGAGGCCTGGCTTTCCATTCTGGCTTAGCAACCAATGGGTCCCTTCCTTCCCCAGCACACACCACTCTGCAAAGCCTCAGTGGAGCTGCTGCCATGGGCTAAAAATATGGCCTGCTATGAGTCAGGGAGTGCTGGCCACTGTCCTCTGACTAGCTTGTTCTCTACAACACTAGTGGAGAGTGGACAGCACACAAGTTCATCACACTTGGGAGACTGTCCAAAGAGAGCAGGTCTCTTCTTTGCCCCTCTAAGGGCCACTAGGGGGAAATCAGGAGAGCAGATCAGAGGCATTTTAAAAGATTTACAAAGGAAACTCAGCACACCAGACAGCAAGCTTTTATGAGCCCACATAGCCATTCTTATCAGGATGTCCCCTTTCTCCAACCCAAAATAGAAATTGCCCTCAAAATGAGCAATATTTGCCATCTCTGCAATTGTTCAAGAGCATATTCTCCACTGTGAAGGTACGAAGTAAAAGAACATCCAATAACATTCCCAATGACAGCAGCATGTCAGAATTGGTGTTTCCCAAGGTCAATTGGGGATCACAGTCAGGTGGAAGTCGTCCTCTTGGGAATCAGCCACATTACTTTTATCATCATTCCCTACGTGGAGGCCTAAGCGCACGTGCATGCACATGCCAACAACCCTACCCCCCACAAAATGATATTATGTGTTCAATGAATGGTTCCATTGAGGTATTTCTCCAACAAAAATAACACTGTGGTAACTAGTTACCTCCTGTTTGATAAGAGGAACCATTCTGCTAATTCCTCAGCCAGGTGAGGGCTCACCTTCCTTCAACATTCCTCTCTCTCTCTCTCTAAACATTCTGAGGGCACCACTGTACCTCACCAATCTTTAACTGTTAGATGCCATCTAACATCTAACATAATCTTTAACTGTTAGATGCCATCTACATGCCATTTGTGAGAGTTAAATGTTGAGAAGTGGCATTCACAGTCAAACATCTTTATGGAATGTATCCCTCCCCCACCTTTTTTTTTTGAGGTGCTGAGGATTAAACCCAGGTCCTCACACATGCTATACAGCAGCTGTTCCTCTGAGCTGCATCCCAAGTCCCACACTCATTTTTTTGAGATGCCTATGTCTTCTTCTACAGCCTCTTAGCTCACCACATTTGGTTTCTACTCCATCATTCACGCAAATGGCTGTTTGTAAGGTGACCAGTGTTTTCCTAGTTGTCAGTCCAATGGATGTGCTCCAGGGCTGACATGACTTCATTGCAATGTGACATTGAGCTTGCCAGTCATTTCTCTTCAGTTACTTTGAACATTTCCTCTCCCTTGCCCTCCTCTACTGCTCCTTCTTGGTCAATCTCTTTCCTAATTCCTTTCTCTGCCAACCCTTGAAATCCTGGCAGGTACTGTCCTGGGCCTGCTTGTCTTCTCACTGGATGTGCTTTCTAGAGAGATATTTCCACCTCCATCATCTGCCCATTTATCTCATGTCCTTGTCACCAGCATACAAATATCTTCAGCTTCATAAACCAATAGCTTCATAAACCAAGTCGCTACTGGACTTTCCCACAAGCAGAGTAAATTGATTATTTCCGCTCATTTTCTGTTTATACAGACCTAACTGTAGCCAGGAGTACTATATCCACTCAATTATTTAAGTCAGAACCTGGGAATCATTCTCAGTATCCACTTTAGAGTGTGATCTTGAGCAAGTAACTGAATCTGATGGATTTTGATTCCTTATCTATAAAATGGGCTTAAGAGTTATTGTGCAGGCTAACGGAGTGACACACTTAACTGCCTACTCTGGCACAGGGGAAGTCTTCGCACTGTCAGCTGTATGAGTCCTCTGAGCAGAGGGCAGAGAGGGACACTGTCAGCTCTCCCCTCTTCACCTAGAGTCTCAGAAGGTGTAGAGGCCAGAGGTGGAAGAAATACCTGGCTGAGATCAATAGGTAAATGCACCAAAGTCTCGATTCAGGATGGAAATGATCTGCTGGTTGGATACCATCAGCAGGTCCCCACTTAGATTAGACTCAGGAGACCTGGAATTGCCTCCCACCCATGTCCATACATGGGTATTCATATTCTGTCCCTCTCAGGCTTGGTTTAGTGAGAGTTAACACAGGGTTGTCCTCAGAACCGTATTCTTTTCTGAGTAATTTGAATCTTATAAAGCACACATTTGACATGAATTTATTGTAACAGAATGAACATGGATTGGGGTTTGGCAAGACAGGCTGTCACTCTTCCTAGTTGTGTGACTTTGAATGAGTAATTTGAACTCTGAACGTCACTCTCCTTTTACATAAAATACAGACAGAAATACTTCCTTATAGGTTTAAGTGTGTTAAGTGATAAAATGCACAGTGTAACACGTCGTATGGCTTGGAAATGGGAGGTTCCTTCTGATCTCATATCTACAGTAAACTACATATTCCTAAGGTAACCAGGAAGTCTGGTTTTCCTCCCTTTTGACTTCTATATAATTTTGTTTGTCTACAGAACAGGGATAATACTTCCTAGGATTCTGGAAGCATTCGTGTATTTTGTGCACTGTATAGAGCTGCTATGGCAACTACACCCCTGTGGACAGGATCTTGCTACATTAGAATGAGAAAGACCAAACTCAGCAGAGCGCACCTCCATTGCCAGTGGCACTAAATCGGTTCAGCCTTCAGAAAGAGAAAGCCGGCAGCATGTCGCCAGGGCTACTAAACTGCTTATCCCTTTGGACGTATTGATTCCAGTTTGGGGAAAATATCCAAGGATATTAAGACTTTCTCCTTCCCCCATGCTCAAAAGAGACATTTACAAAATTTTTCAAATCAAAACAACAACAACAAAAAAGAAAATAATTTGAATATCTTTTAAGGGACTAGGGTATATTTAACATAAAACAATGGGATAAAATGACAGGTATGTGAACTAGGTTGAAAGGTGTCACTTGTGTGGATAATGTTTTCAGTTTCCTTATCGGAAACACAGAAATACAATAGCTCCTCATCTTGGAGGCTGTAGTCAGGAGTTAATGGGTTGATGCATGAAAAAAAAACCCAGAATAGTGCATGACACATAGAAAGTACTTACTAAATGTTTCCTGTTATTATTCCACAAAAGGGGAAAGGAATAGAAGGAGAATACAAACCAGCATGTGCATATTGATCAGAACAATGGTATCAGACACTAATCATTTCTAATAAGGATCCCAAAGGGAGGGAAGGTTTTAGTAGTTTACTCCCCCCACCCCAGTTCATAATAAATAAGAAACTAAATGAACGAATAACTATCTCCAAGAGAAACTGGCAATTGCTCTGAAAACAAGTTTTAGCAATTTCCATGAAATAATTCTCTGGCTTTGGCCAAGGCCACTGATTGATTTCTAAGCAAAATGCTGGAAAAGCAGCTCTGCTGGCTTTAGAGCTCAACTGTGCTCAGCCAGCATGAACCAGGGCCAGCAGGGGATTAAACCTAAGTCCCAAATTCTGTCCACTCTACTACACTGCACAAAACTAGTAGATGTGGTTTCCCCAAATAAGGGGTTTGACCCAACTTGACATATGTTTGTGGGTAATTTAGTATCTGAACAGTTTCTGCTAATGATTTCCATTCTAACTTGAAGGAGGTGTGTGGGGGGAGGCTATATCTTCTTGACAGAGCCCTGCCTGTCATTGCATATATCTGGACACTAGGAGATTCCTCTGGTGAAGGCAATGGTCTTCTTCTTGGAGAAGGCTGGCATTTAAAAAGCAGAGCCTGGTCCAGATGCACCTTCTTCTCTCACCTGGTCCACTGGCTGCTCCCTACTGGCTCTCGCCCTTCTCACCTATTCTCATGCTGCTGCTGGGCTGATGTGTTTCCCCGGTGTCCAGTCTTCCAGTGGCTTCACTTTCCAGTTAGGATAACATCTGAGTTCCCTCCACCTGGATGGCTCCTGCCTGCGTCCACCTCCCTAAATCCTGGCCATCCTTTGCACTTTGCTTTGTCACTTTCTCAAGGGGATGCTCTCAGTATGGGCTAGCCCTGTGGGTGAAACATTTATCTTGTCCTTCTTGAAACTCAACACACATAAAATTACTTGTCCTATTCTCAGTTTTCCCACAGGAGTCCAAGTTCTAGGCAGGCAGCCCTGTGTTTGATGCCCACCATTTTTGTCCAGTGCCAGGCACATAAGTGTGTCTTGGGTGTGTGGCCATATAAATGAATTAATGTAGCACTAAGTGAATGAATGAATGAATGAATGAATAAGATGACAACTTTTCATCCCCTGAATCAATGACTAACTGTGCTTTTTCAGCACTAGCTGGAAGCTGTAGTGTAGGGAGTTATCCCAAAAGCCTTCCAAAGCACAAAAACTGGGTGACTTGGGGAAAGGTTAACTAGCTCTGAAACCAGCAGGCTCCTAGACCTCCCCAGAACATTTACTTACCTGCACTTTCTGTGTGGTTCCTGTTGGCTGTCGTTTTCATCATTTTCTCGCTGAATGAAAGAAAAAGAGAGTCAGCTAAGTACTTTCCAAAATGCCCTTATTTTTTGATACCTTCCAATCACGATTCTAAGCAATTAGCAGTGATGAGATTAAGCAATGAGGGTATTTTGGCATCAGCACCATGACTAGCTTGGATGGAAAAGGCTTCCCGGGTGTGCATCTGACACTGTGAAATGTAGCCAGGCACACTCATGACTTTCAGATGGTGGCAGACGTGGGGACACGCGTGGATGGCTGTTGCGGGCACTGCGCAAGGAGTGGTCCATGAAGCCACATGCACTGGGAAGCCCATTTACCCTTCTTGGGCCAAAGTTAACCTTCATCCAAGAATTATCAGCACAAAAACAAAAAACAAAACAAATATAAAAAAATCATGATTCATAGAGACGCGAATATTTTAGCCTTGAAATGATTATGAGGAAAGGAATTTGAATGAATGAATGATTTTAATGATTAAAGAGAAACAGATTGAATTTAACTCTTTAATTGGATAGCTGGTTTCTTTTTACCTAGATGCATCTTTGCTACTACTTGTAATGGGCCCTTTAAAAAGCGCAGACTGAACAAGGCCAGTTAAACTGGCAATCTGCTTCTCCATGGCTTGCATCCTCTCTCTGTAAAACAAGAGAATTGTTTGTTAAAGCTCTTATTGACTTTCAGACTGGTTTTTCTAGGTGAATGATCCACCAGAGGGTTATAAAAGGTACCACCTCGAAGGCCGCCAAAGTTCACCCCAACTTGGCTCAGAAACCGGCAGCGCCTTCAAGTCCTTGGCTGAGATCGATTTGATGATCAGAGCTGAGGTGGAAGACAGTGACCTCACTAAAAAGACACTGTGCGGACCAGCAGAGGCCTCCCGGAAAACTGGAAGGAAGGGAGGAATCTCCCTCAAATACTTTTGTTGGCACAGGATGTGTTTTTGAGTCTTTCTGCCCTGCTTCATTATTTGACCTTACACAAAACGGCTCCTCTCCGGACCAGGGAGACCCTAGGCCAGGTACTGCACAGGCACACACAGTTGTAATCTGTTCTTCTCTGCTGGGAGGCTGCAGGATGGTTTTGTGTGAATGAAGGAGATGTTTGGCTGTGTGTGTATTTACACTTCTTTTATAGCCCAAGGGCAACACAAGCAAATGTCTCTTATTAAGACCATGGAAAATATGGTTGAAATCAGTGTATGTTTGGGAATAGAGGATGCTCAATTTGATGTTGTAGAAATTTTAGCCTAGAGGCTTTTATAGGATCAGGCAGGAAAATGAACATCCCTAACAACTTGATAACCCAAGGCGTCGATAAAAAACTCCCTTTGTTATTGACTCAGGGCAGATACTGTACCTCTCTGTCTTCAAGGTTCACAAGAGTCATGTCAGACATTTCAAACAGGTTCACATTTCCGGACCTCGGATGTTTCACAGAACCGTTACCATTATTTTTGACACATTATAAAAACAACTGACTACATGAGGAGAATGTCAAATGTCACCTCCTGTGAATTCACTTATGCATACCTAGTAGTTAAAACAGGAAGAGAGGGGAGAATGGCTTAAATAGTACAGGTATTTCCCCAGCATTCCCCATGAGCAGGTGTCCTATGTGAGCTTGGGATAAGTGGCCACTGTGGGTCTCAGTTCATGGCTCTCTAATGTGAACGACAATGATTCCTATGCTACAAACAACATATGCACACACGATGACTCTCAAATAGAGTCCAATGACTTTATCTGGTGCTCAATGGAACAAGTAATAGTGATCTATTCTTTCATGAAGTTGAGCTCATTGAGAGATGATATATGCATATCCTGAATTTTATGGCAATTGAGCATTTTCAAGCACAGCGGTGATGAGTTGTGCCTTGGAATGTGACCTATCATGCCAGGTGAAATTTCAGTTACACAATTACAAGCCTCTGACTTCAGAAGTCCATATATTTTCTTTAGTTTAAAATGGTCGGTTTGTCACAACACTGAATTTTTCGGACATAAGTTAGGCAGTAAGGATAGTTAATGGCTGTAGAACCCAAAAAGAAAAAAAAGTATTGATAGTATTATTTCTCTGTTCTAATGGAGCAGAAAGAAATCTCCAATGGTGAATGTGGACACACATCTCTATGGAGTGACTTAGCAAATGTCTCCAGGTGCACCTGTGGGTGCTAAACCCCATGAGCTGTAGAGCATTTTCAGATACACTTCTTTTCCATAAAGTGGTTAATGTGTCAAAAGAGAAAGATTAGTAAGAAATCCAAATAAGGAAAGCAGGTTAGTAAAAACCCAATGGAAATCCCAAGTTTATCAAACCAAATCACACAGTGGGACGTCTCAGAAACCATGGGGTGATGGTGATCGTGCTGGAGATACAGACTCACAAACTCTTGGGAAATTAATGACTTTCTTGGGGAAGTGCTCAGTACCAGGTGAATGTCTTCCATTGCCATTAATTGTCCCACAGAGGCTGGCTCTGTCCCCGGCAGTGCTTGAAGCCAAACTTATGACCCTAAGACAGGAGCTCCCTTCAGAACTACAGGTTTAGTAATCTTATTTAATCTCAGGCAAATGCAAAGAATATAGCTTTTCTGTTTTTTAAGTGGCATGGCATTTTTAGACTCTAAATGGCTGTGGTTAAGAAGTGGCTTAAGGGTTCTGTACAACTGGGGTGTGAGATAGTGAGGCACGGTGACAGCCCAATTATGCAAAGAAGACAGCAATATTAAGAAATGCAAAAAAAAAAAAAGTAAGTCTACAACTGTATAGGATAAAGAAGAATCTGCTAAGAGGGAAGTGGTAGAAGGGAATGCGGGAATTCCAACGCTGTTCCTGGGCACAATGCTGGCTAGGTTTAAACCAGTGTACTTGAAAGTACTCTGCACTGACCGATTACACCACTAGAGCTCTGAGGGGTTCCTTCTAGTCCCTCTCTGATCAACGGCTTTCATTACCTTACCCAAGAGAGGAGAGCAGGAAAAAAAGAAAAATAACAAAACAAGTGAACAAACAAAACAAAACAAAAAAAAATGCCCCCAAACATAGCACCAGAGTGATTCTGGATAAAGAACATTGATCTTCAACTGGTTTATCATGATGGTCAGAAATCTAGAAGGTCACCGCACAGCCCAAGTCATCTTCACCCAGGAGTCTGCAGGGGGAACAGGTGTTTTTCCCCAGCTCTGTAGGTACCTGGATTCTCCCCTGGGCTTCCCCCAGATAAAGGTTTTAGGACATGGAAAGAGACAATTCCCCAATCACATCTCATTCCCTGATCTTTCAGGACATAGTTGTAGGACTTCCTGAGATGAGCTGCTCAGGAATCAAAGCCCTGTATCCAGTGGGCATCCAGGTGCTCTGTGCTCCTTCTAGTATTGAGAGTTAGTGCATGAACACTCCCTTGGTGGCCTCTTCCAGGCAGTGTCCCCTGCAGGGCCACCAGGAAGGACATAATAATGTAACAGAGACATGGAGTCAGATGACTGATGTCCTCCTCAGAGGGTTCAGATGCTTGGGCCAGGCAGCAGATGGGGAGCGCGTCTCTCCCTTTGCCCAGAAAACAGCAGGGTCTGAGGACAGCGCGGCCGGCAACGCACGGCAGCGTCTCAGCCAAAACCACCCTACGAAAATACAATTCTTTTGACACATGGTAATGAGAAAAGTTTCCCCCTGTTAGTTAATCATCAAAGTGTTTCTGGTTTCAGGATTCATTGAGGGAGATTATCTGATTTATAAATTCATAAATAAGATTGTCTTTCCATTTCATGGTTGGTAATCTGGAAACAATTTTATGGTTTAACTAAATTACAGCAACTGGAAACTTACGCAGTCTTCTCCCATGATGAAATGCTATGAAGTATGTTTTAATGTAAAAGGGGAAAAATAGAAGGGAAATGCGCTGGAAGAAGAGAAATTAAGCACAACCCTGTCATTTTACTGCAGTGGCAATTTTGCATGATGATCATCAGAATATTAAAGATGCTTAGGCTAATTCTTGCCAACATCACTGGCTTTAAGGTATTACAGAACTGGTGTAATTACTGTTGAAAAGATGGTTTCAAAAATGATTTCATAAACCATTTTACATCATCCCATAAACCATATTTATGTGATTAGTAGGTATGGTTAACTAGTTATTTCGTGTCATAAGTCAGCTTGGCTGAATGAATCTTCTGAAGGTCCAAACATAATAAGAATAAAAAATTTCAAGTCAAATTCAGGGAAAGTGCTGGTGTTGGCTTCACTAGCTACTGCTTTATTTATTTTTTTCTTTTTTCTTTTAGTGCTGGGGATGGAACCCAGGGCCTTGCAAATGCTAAGCAAGTGCTCTACTGCTGAGCTACATCCCCAGCCCTTTTTAATTCTTACTTTGAGACAGGATCTCCCTAAGTTGCCCAGGCTGGTTTTGAACTTGGGATCCTCCTGCCTCAGCCTCCCAAGTGGCTGGGATTACAGGTGTGTGCCACTGAACCTGGATTCAGCTACTGCTTTAGCCAGGTTTCCTATAAGCCTGTCTGACATCTGACCCACACTGCTTGGGGTCAGGGGTGGCTCTCGGTCTTCAGAGTGCAGGGTAAGAATTGGGGAAATATTTTTGGCTAGCGACACCATTTATACAACTTTAGATTCACCTTCACCGGTTTTTGAGTAGGGCTGTGTCTTTGTACTGACCGAGGCCTCATTAAGCCTGAATTAGGTGCTTATCCTTGTATAACTAAGCAAATTAATGGCTATTAAGAAATAGGTCAACGTTGTAACAAGTATGAGGCTGGCAATTCTCCTACAATGAATCCCACAGGATATGTTTTTAAATATCCAAAGGAGAGACAGGGGAGATGGCCTAGCCAGCCAAGTTGGTGAGATTAGCTCCCAATCAGAAGCACTAGCCTTCCTAACCAGTTACTTATTTTGAAAACCAGTGGCACAGGAGAGTCAGGAAGAACTCCAGTAACCAAGAATGGCCTTCTAAGAGTACTTCCTATGTGGTCTGCCAATTCACTTCTATTTCCAATATTTTGTGAATTTTTCTTCTTTATGCTCACGATCGTTCATCTCTCCAGAAAGTGATGAATGGTCATTGGGACTGCCAGAAGGTATTGTCCAACACCTGGTAAGTGCTGGGTGCTGTGCTTCTGCCATAAACAGTGTAGAACAAAGCACCATCAATCCCCAGCAGCACCTTCTTCTCATGATATCAATTTTTGAGAAATCGAATTCCACTGCAACAGTCCTGGCAGTGCAAAAGGCATTCTCTAGAACTGAAGAGTGGACAGGCTTAAAGCTGGACTATGCCCTAACTTGTTCAGGCTCTGCTTCTGTGGTATGAGGAGAAGAAAACCTCAGAGTAAAGACATTGTTTCCAGATGAGTCCAACAAAACACTGGAGTCCAGATGATCCGAATTGATGGGAAATCCTCACAAATATAGGACTGGGAGCAGCGAACTTTCTATTTCTGCCCAAAGTTCATCTACTGATTTAAAAAAGAGAGAGAGAGAAAGAAAGAATAGGGGGGAAAAAAGAAGCAAACCTATGTAACTACAGACACTGTTCTAAAACTTCCCAATAAAATTAATTATCATTGAAACATCTGGATTTACTGAGGGGATGTTCGTGGTTGAACTCTGTCCCCTGCCCC